GTTTCCCGGTGTACAATTAACAATTGGTTCATACGTCAGTGTGCGTTCATCGAGATACGAAGCACGCGGGAAGTTTGGAAAGCACGAAAGATGCGTAAGAGTGCTCTCATATGTTATGCTCTCAAATGCTTCATATCTCGATGAACGCACAGCTGACGTATGAACCAATTGTTTTAGAACATTTTTAACCCGATGGAAATTTTTTTTTCTCGAGGGATATGTTTGCTGACGTCTGGAGCGTGCACAATAGGAATATGAAGCACGCTCGCGCAATTGAATTTGATAATACAAATTTACTAGCTATGTTATAATAGTTTACGAACCTGGTTTTTTCCTGCATGCTCTATAACTTACGGTACGGACCTCGAACTCAGTTGGTAAGAGGCGTTTATTCCCCTCCCGCTGCGAATAATTTGGAAATATTAAACGACAAATGACGCAGTATTTGACCTGTATTGTAAATTTTTTAGCAAAAGGAAATGTAAAGCTAGCCATAAGAAAAAAAGGCAGTCAAAGACTGCATGTGGCCACTGATATAGCATAATTAAGTTGTATAATGGCGCAAGAAGATAGTTTTTGAAGAGATTTATATTCACATGCAAAACAGAAAACATCCATCCCACAGCTTGCGAGTACCTTAATCCACCAAAGAGAGATGATTAAAGACTATCGTGACTTACTGACATTCAACCATTAATCAAATCATCATATTTACAACAGTCATTATGATAACAATAACAATATAATAATAATTTAAAAGGGCTGTACCTCCCTATACTTCTCTAAATTTTGCTTGTTTTAACAAATTTTTTTGTTTTGTTTCAATTCCATTTTTGTAAGACTTTTCTGTCATACTACAACACATTCGGTGTTTTAGGATATTCCACCGTTCCTCCGTGCTATCATCCCATGTAATAGTGCTGAAGGGATCGTATTTGGCATCTCGTTCGCTTCGCAAATTTAAAGACCCACTTGGCAATAAATCGTTATTTCAAACGGTAAAATTCTCTCTTTTCAAAGATAAAATAATTTTCCTCAAAATTTCCATAATATGCAGATCACACCTATTGAAATATTTCTGCAAGAGAAGTTTTGATTTAAATTACGCGTTAGTGATGTCAATGTATAAGTATTTAGGGATGTAAATGTCAGGGCAAACTGAAAAAATAACAATCTAGAACTTTAGGTCTAAAATCACCAAAGGAAAGAACATAAATTTCAGAAACAGAAACCAGAATTCAAAATCGCCCATTAGGGTCCAAATCCAAAATTTGCCACTGGTATCCAAAATTAAAAAATCAGCCACAAGTGTTCAAAATCCAAAATCGGCCAGAAGTGACCAAAATCCAAAATCGGCCAGAAGTGAC